AAAAAAAAAAAAAAAAAAAAAAAAAAAAAAAGACACAAAGAATACCCGAAAAGCACAGGCAACCAAAGCAAAAATGGACAAATGGGATCACATCAAGTTAAAAAGCTTCTGCACAGCAAAGGAAACTATCAACAAAATGAAGAGACAATCCATTAAATGGGAGAAAATATTTACAAATTATCTATCTGACAGGAGATTAATAAGAATGTGTAAGCTCAAACAACTCAATAGGAAAAAAATCTAATAATCCAATTAAAATGGACAAAAGATATGAATACACATTTCTCAAAAGAAAATATACAAATGGCAAAAAAAAAAAAAGTATATGAAAACGTGCTTAACATCACTGATCACCAGAGAAACACAAATCAAAACTACAGTGGGTGCTCGCTTCAGCATCACATATACTAAAATTGGAACAATATAGAGATTAGCATGGTCCCTATGCAAAGATGACATACAAATTCATGAAGCATTTCATATTTTTAAAAAATCTTTAAATATTAAAAAAATTATGAGATATCATCTCATCCTAGTTAAAATGGCTTATATCCAAAAGATAAGCAATAACAAATACTGGTAAGGATGTGGACAAAAGGGAACCCTCATACACTGTTAGTGGGAATGTAAATCAGTACAACCACTGTGGAGAACAGCAGAGCGGTTCCTCAAAAACTAAATATAGAGCTACCATATGATCCAGCAAGCCCACTGCTAGGTATATACCTAAAAGAAAGGAAATCAGGGCCAGGTGCAGTGGCTTACGCCACAATCTCAGCACTTTGGGAGTCTGACGCTGGTGGACTGCTTGAGCCCAGGAATTTGAGAGCACCCTAGGGAACACAACAAGACATCATCTCTACTAAAAATTTTAAAATTAGCCAGGTGCTCTGGCATGCACCTGTAGTCCAGCTACTTGGGAAAATCGCTTGAGTACAGGAAGTGGAGCCTACAGCAAGCTGTGATCATGCCACTGTACTTCAACCTGAGCAACAAAGCAAGATTCTGTCTCTAAAAAAGGAAGAAAGAAAGATCAGTATATCAAAGAGAAATCTTCACTCCCATGTTTATTACAACACTACTCACCATAAATAGATTTGGAAACAACCTAAGTGTCCATCATTGACAGATGAATGGATAAAGAACATGTGGTACATAGACACAAGGGAGTACTATTCAGCCATAAAAAGGAATAAGATCCTGTCATTTGCAACAGTGAATAGAACTGGAGGTCATTATGTTAAGTGAACTATGCCAGGCATGGAAGGACAAACTTTGCATGTCCTCATTTATTTGTGGAAGCTAGAAATTAAAACAATTGGTCAGGCACAGAGGCTCACAGCTGTAATCCCAGCACTTTGGGAGGCTGAGGTGGGTGGATCACCTGAGGTACGGAGTTCAAGGCCAGCCTGACCAATATGGAGAAACCCCATCTCTACTAAAAATAAAAAATTAGCTGGGCACAGTGGTGCAGGCCTATAATCCCATCCCAGCTACTCAGGAGGCTGAGGCAGGAGAATCCCTTGAACCCGGGAAGTGGAGGTTGTGGTGAGCCGAGATCACGCCATTGCACTCCAGCTTGAGCAATAAGACCAAAACGCCATACTCGTCTATAACAAAAAAAAAAAATTGAACTCATGGAGATAGAGAATAGAATGATGATTACCAAAAGCTGGGAAGAGTAGCAGGAGAAAGGGAAGTGGGGATGTTTAATAGGTACAAAAATACAGTTAGACAGAGTAAGATCTAGTATGTGATAGCACAACAGGACGACTACAGTCAATAATAAGAGTATAATTGGATAGTGTGCAACACAAAGGAAGGATAAATGTTTGTGGTGATGGATATCCCATTCATGTTTGTATGCCTGTATCCAAATATTTCTTTTTTCATTTTTTGAGATGGAGTCTCGCTCTGTCACTCAAGCTGGAGTACGGTGGCCCAATTTCGGCTCACTGCAGCCTCCACCTCCTGGGTTGAAGCGCTCCTCCTGCCTCAGCCTCCCTAGTAGCTGTGATTATAGGTGTACACCACTACACCTGACTAATTTTGGGGTTTCGCCATGTTGGCCAGGCTGGTCTGGAAACTCCTGACCTCAGGTGATCCACCTACCTCAGCCTCCCAAAATGCTACGATTACAGGTGTCAGCCACCACATCCATCCCAAATATTTCATGTATTCCATTAAATATATACACCTATTACACCCCCAAAATTTTTTTTTAATTTTTAAATGTTTTAAAAAGGCACAAAGAGAAACTGACTGTATTACTTACACATGATACTACAAGGGAAGCCTGCTGAAAATTTACTACCCTGACTCCACATCAAGTGCTAACAGGAAATGGTTTGTATTTTAATACTAGGACTAAAAATAAGACCGATTTTAAGAGCACTCTCCCCTGGAGAAAACACACTTATCTTGAATTTAAAGATACATATGCAAATGCTTCAGGCCCCAGGTGGTCTCATAGAAGCATTCCCTGATCAGATCTCTCATCCACAGCCCACGTGCTTCTGCACGACAGAGGTGGGAAGACATCTGCAACAAATTTGGTCCTGCTTCTGCACTTCTGCTGGAGAGAAGGGCAGAAATGAACCTTCACAAATCCAAAATGAGAAGGCATCTCACTAGGCATTTGGATTAAGAACTATTGCTCAAGAAGCCCTGAGCAAGGCCTACAAGTTCTGATCTCTCTAACCTCCTCTCCTTGTCCATGGGGCCTGTGCCATGCTAGCTTCCTTGATGCTCCACCAACCCTTCAGACATACTCCCACCTCACGACCTTCCCTGGGGGCTGTTCCCTCTACCTGGACGCTCTTCTCTCAGACTCCTCATATCTTCAAATCTCGGCTCAAATGCCACCTTTGCGAAGAGGAAAAAGATGCCTTTTCTTTCCCATGATATTTATCACCTCCTACTACACCGTATAATTTACTTAAATATCTATAATTCACCATTTTCTCCTCTCCCCCTCAAGCTCCAGGAGAGCTGAGTTCTCTGTCCTGTTCACTGATGTCTATCACAAGCATTTAGAACAGTGCCTGACACACACAGTAGGAGCTCAAGAAGTATTTTCTGAATGAATGAACAAACTTCTTGACATGAAGATTCAGAACAGTAAGTGGGTGGAAAGGACGATGGTGAGGGGATGAGGAGAAAGAAGCGACAGAGGAGAATTCCCAAGGGAGAGCCAGAGACTGGCGGAGGCCGGGCCGACCCCCGTTTCTCCCCTCAGCGCTGATGGGAGGCGTACTGACGTAGGTGCAGGGCATCCCGCCAGTGGCATCCGAAGCACTCACAGGCAGGGAGCGGTGGCTGGCGGGCTCCTGGGCTCACTGAGAAAGTTCAGCGGCAGGACAGACCCACGCAGGTTCCGGTCAGGCCCCCTTCGGAGCCCCGACCCCCGGTTCTTCCCGTCCCAGCAGTGCCCACAATCCCAGTTCCTCTCCAGAATCCCCATGGGAGTCCCGGGCCGCAATCCCTTCTCGGCTCGGGCCCCTCCACCAGTCGCCAGCGACCGGGCCCTGCGCTCGGGCACCTGCCTGGCCGTGGCGGGGTCCCCACCCCGGCCGGCGAGGAGGCCCAAGCGCGCCCCTGCGGCCTCAGCCCGCTTGGCCGCCCAGTCGCCCTGCACAAGGGCAGGAAGCGATCCGCGGCACTCCCCACCGCTGAGAAGGGGCTCCAGGCGCCCCATGCCCGGGCCGCCCCAGCCCGACGCCCCGCCCGTGCGGCGCCCCCTCACCTCAGGGCGTACGTACGACACGAAGGAGGGCTTGGGCGCCTTGGTGCCGCCGCCACCGCCGACTACCCCTTTCCCCAGCATACCGCCGCCGTGGGAAGCAGCGACGCGCGGGTGCAGAGGCGGCGGCTCAGGCTCTGGCTGGGGCAGCAGCGGCGGCCACCAGCACTAGCGGCTGGGGCTCCGCCCATCCCCAGGGCCGCTGCCGCCGCCGTGCCGCCCGCATCCGGCTCCGCGGCTGACACCGCTCGCCCCGCCCAGGCTCGTGGGCCCCGCCCACCCTGCGCGCGGCCCAGCGAGCCTGGAGCCCGCAAGCGGAGGCCACGCCCCCCCATCACGGCAGGAGGGTCTGACCCGCCGAGATCCACCACCTTCCTGCGGCACAGCCCGCCCTCATGCTTTCTCTGATTGGCCAGAGGCGTTGCCGGCTGACCCCCTTCTTGAACGAACCTGGAGAGATGTTTCCTCTAACCAATCCAGACAGCGTTCTCTCCGGACTTTCCGACGATTGGATGGGTGTCACCGTCGTCCAATGATCCTGCAGTCACCAAGTTGTCGTGAGCTGTGGTTCAGCGCAGCCGTTTTCTTCCTTTTGCTCGTGTCTTTGGAATAAAACGTCCAAAAGCAGGATGTATGGAATCTCGCTATAGCAGTTCCAAATTTACATCGATGACATTCAAGGTATTTTATTTTATTTTTATTATGTACTTTTGAGACGGAGTTTTGCTCTTGTCGCCCAGGCTGGAGTGCAATGGCGCGATATCGGTTCACAGCAACCTCCGCCTCCCACGTTCAGCGATTCTCCTGCTTCAGCCTCCCGAGTAGCTGGTATTACAGGTGCCGTCCAGCTAATTTTTTTTTTTTTTTTTTTTTGACAGAGTCTCACTCTGTCGCCCAGGCTGGAGTGCAATGGCACAGGCTAGGCTCACTGCAGCCTCCGCCTCCTGGATTCAAGCGATTCTCCTGCCTCAGCCTTCCGAATAGCTGAGACTACAGGCGCGTGCCAGCACACATGGCTAATATTTTTTATTTTTAGTAGAGACGAGGTTTTCAGCATGTTGTCCAGGCTGGTCTCGAACTCCTGGCTTCAAGAGATCCACCCGCCTCGGCCTCCCAAAGTGCTAAGATTACAGGCGTGAGCTACCGCGCTCAACCTCAAGGTTTATTATTTTAAATGTAAACAAAAGTGAGAAAAACGGATGACTCATGCCTCTAATCCCAGCACTTTGGGAGGCCGAGGCAGGTGGATCTCTTGAGGCCAGGAGTTGGAGACCAGCCTAGCCGACATGGAGAAATTCTGTCTGTACTAAAAATACAAAAATTAGCCGGGCGTGTTGGCAGGCGCCTTTAACTACTTGAGAGGCTGAGGCACGAGAATCGCTTGAACTGAGGTTGCAGGGAGCCAGGATCGGGCCACTGCACTCCAGCCTGGGCGACAACGAAAACCTGTCTCAAAAAGAAAAAAACAAAAAAGGGAAGACAAATCAAGTGTTAACAAGGCAGTAAGGAATAAGTTTGCGTGTTTGATAATAAAAGATTTGTCAACTTCATTTTTCCAAACTTTTTCCGCTTTATGTTTCTAACAGGAAGAACATCAAGAGCCCATAAGAGACTTATTTTTAACTCTACAAAGTTATTGATAAAACCCTCATTTTTTAGCCAAGATTGCAAAGAAGAAAATTCATTTCAATTCTACATTTGGTGCCAAGCATTGTTAGATTCAGATAAATAAGAACAAATCCAGATCTTAAGAAATTCAGTGTAGTGGAAAAAAACTGATAAATATATGCAGTTAATTTTTTAGGTGTTAGGCACCATGCTAAGTACTCTCAGTGACCTTGATTTTTACCCTCTTAATCTCCATTTGCTTCCCATTCCCAAATACACTGCAAGTAAATATAAAATCTTAGTGAAAAGAAATGTGCTTGCTTTTGCAAACAGAGTTTCAACACAAGTCCTGCAGCACGATTTCCAGCCAGATTGCCAATTATAAGCCTATTTGGTATATCTATGCTTCAGCCGCCACTGAGTTTCCTTATCTCTGTTTCCAGGTGACAAAACAGACATGCAAGTAATTTGGCCAGGTCTCAAACTAATCACTGAGAGAGCTGGGATTCCAATCCAGGTTAGTCTCATTTGAAATTCCAAGTTCTTAACATTATGATTATACAAATTAGGAGCACAATGAAAGTGTGGTCCATTCTATTGGGAAGTCCAAGTTGAAGCCATCCTTACAAGGTTGAGAAGAATTCTACACAGAAATAAAGTTATAACCAAGCATTAATCAGACTGCAGTTTGACCTGCTTCTTTGTATTAATAACTCAACGTCAGGTAACACTAGGTGCTGACCATTTGCATCTCTGTTGTTTCGATAGGTAGGATTTCTGGCTCTGGAATTATAAGGGTTTTGTTTAAGAACTGCTTAGGCAGATCCTAAGTTCCAGCAGAACAGCCAACATCAACCAGTTTAAAGACCACCCTCCCCAACACACACACACACACACACACACACACACACACACACACACACACACACACACACACACACACACACACACACACACACACACGAACTGAATCAGCATGAGAATACAATTTCTTCATCTTTCTGTCTCATGACTTCACCCTGCACTTTTCAACCAATCAATGATCTCCAACTTTGGTCCACTTAAAAACCCTTAAAAACCCTAGCCCCAGGCAGGGTGCAGTAGCTCACACCTGTAATCCTAGCACTTTTAGAGGCTAAAGTAGGAAACTCACTTGAGTTCAAGAGTTCAAGACCAGCCCAGACAACATAATGAGGCCCTCTCTACAAAACATTAAAAAATGAGCCGGGCATAATGGTGTAAGCCTGTAGTCCAAGTACGCAGAAGGTTGAGGTGGAAAGATTGCTTGAGCCCAGAATTTGAGGTTACAGTGAGCTGATATGTCACTGCACTCCAGCCTAGGTGACGAAGCAAAACTCTGTCTCAAAAAAAAAAAAAAAAAAAAAAAAAACCAAAAAAAAAAAAAAAAAAGGAGGAAAGAAAGAAATTCCTCATGGGGGTGTTAAAGAATAAATTTATTTGTCAAGACTAATATCACTTTATATTTTGCAGTTTTCACTTTTTGAAGTAGATGGCAGTGCAGATATTTAGAGACTGAGCAAATGTTTCCTTTCTCACTTTTCAGGGTACATTGAATTTCCATGACTTTTCACCATAGTTATTAATAAATGTGAATATGTCCAAGGCTGGCTTCTTTGGACATGAAACTAGTGCAGTCACACAGAATCTCACACTTAAGAAGGCTTGGAAACCGGGTGCAGTGGGATTGCACCTGTGATCCCAGCGCTTTGGGAGGCCAAGGCAGGCAAATCACTTGAGTCCAGGAGTTTGAGACCAGACTGGGCAACCTAGGGTGAGTCGGTCTCTAAAAACAATACAAAGAATTAGCCTGGCATGGTGGTGTGCACCTGTAGTCCCAGCTACTTGAGTGGCTGAGGTGGGAGGATCACTTGAGCGCTGGAGGCATCAATGAGCCATGACTGGAGTCACTCTAGCCTGGGTGACAGAGCAAGACCCTGTCTCAAAAAAAAAAAAAAAAAGAGGGCTTGGGGTTTAATCCTTTGTGGTTGTGGCTTTGAGCTTTTTTTTTTTTTTTGAGATGAAGTCTCACTTTGCTGCCCAGGCTGAAGTGCAGTGGTGCCATCTCGGCTCACTGCAACCTCTGCTGCCCTGGTTCAAGTGATTCTCCTGCCTCAGCCTACTGAGTAGTTGGGATTACAGGCCTCTGCCACTGCACTTGGCTAATTTTTGTATTTTTAGTGTAGACAGGGTTTCACCATCTTGGCCAGGCTGGTCTTGAACTCCTGACCTCGTGATCTACCCGCCTTGGCCTCCCAAAGTGCTGGGATTACAGGCGTGAGCCACCACACCCGGCCAGCCTTGAGCTTCTTAATAACTTTATCGTTGAGTTTGTGTTTTAAGTGAAGGGTAATGACTGATGGGTGATGGAGCACACACAAGGGGTCTTGGCGCCTCAGCTCATGCACAGTCCCACCTCCCAGCCCCTCCTCCTTCCTCTTGAGTGCCTGCTATCCCATGGCACTATAGCTCTCCCTAGCCAACTCCACAACTGCTGCCCACTTCTGCCCAGGGCAGCAACCAGGTCTGATTGCCCAGGGGTGTGGGAGGGTGGAGTCTCCTATCCCGCCATCGCCATCCACCCTCCCAGTGGGTTCCTGGGCACTGTCTTGCAGAGGATCAGGGTGAGGCACAGCTCCCTGACCCTCTCTGGTGTCTCTGAGTTAAGGTGGCAGCTATCCTTGCCCTAGGTTGGCAGTGCTTCAGCTACCGGCAGGGGCTTCCACCCACCCCTGTCCAGGTACCAAATATGGACTGGGTGGCAGAGGTGGCCATCCCTTAGGGGTCACCCATCCACTATGAGAAGGAGAGTTGACTTCCCCATCCCCTGGCTGGGGCCCCACATTCTCATTTTGTGCTTGGCCCTGCAAATGATGCAGCCAGCCCAGCCTATTCCCTTTCTTATCTCTGTGTCCTTGGGCAGAGTACTCCCTCTCTCTGTGTCTCTATTTCCTCACCTTAAAATGAGGGTGACAACAACAATAATAACTACTTCAAGGTGGTTAGGGGACTGTATTAGGTTCTCTAGAGGGACAGAACTAATGGGGTAGACATATACATAAAGGGGAGTTGATTAAGTATTAACTCACATAATTACAAGGTCCCACAATAGGCTGTCTGCAGGCTTCGGAGCAAAGAGAGCCAGTCCAAGTTCCAAAACTGGAGAACTTGGAGTTCCATGTTTGAGGGCAGGAAGCATCCAGCACGGGAGAAAGATGTAGGCTGGAAGGCTAGGCCAGTCTCTCTTTTCACATTTTTCTGACTGCTTATATTCTAGCAGTACTGGCAGCCAATTAGATTTCACCCATCCAGCATCCAGATTAAGGGTGGGTCGCCTTTCCCAGCCCCCTGACTCAAATGTGAATCTCCTTTGGCAGCACCCTCACAGACACACCCAGGATCAATACTCTGTATCCTTCAATTCAGTCAAGTTGATACTCAGTATTAACCATCACAGGGACTGTTCAGAAGATTAAACAAGTTGATTCAGATGATGTCTGGTATGCAGCAAGAACTAAATAGGTGATGGCTATCCTCTGTACGATCTCACCAAGTAGAACATAACTTACTCAGTTTCAGGGATCATAGGAGGAAAAGCAAAGTGACTCCTTCCTGCTAATTAACTGTGGGACTTTGTTAAAGAAATAAGTCAATCACCGAGACAATGGGTATTGCCAGGGAAGAAGGCTTTTCAGGTGCCGCAGCCGAGGAGATAGTAGATCAGTCTTAAATCCATGTCCCTGACCAGCTAAAACTAGGAGCTTATATAGTGGGGAAAAAATGTGACCATGTGTGGGAAAACAGGAATTAGGGAGGGCAAAGAAAGAGAAACTGGTCAATAGGAAGCAAGTGGTCCATTAAGCAATCCTGATAGATGAGGGGTTTGACATCTCATTGTCCAGATGTGGTGATCTGGTAAGTTTCAATTCCTTGTTACTATCTGGGAGGACTGACGGTTGGTTTCCTGAGAAAGGAACTCAGATAAGACAAATGTAACTTTTTCAAGTTTTTTTTTTTTTTTTTGTCTTTTTTTGTTTTTCTGAGGAGTGATTTAC